CGTACCTGTAGAAGAAGCATAATTTGTACTAAACTCATGTATTGCTGATTAATTGTCGGGAACTGTGTTCTACTTTAATGGTAGATGGTACCTGTGGATGCACAAAACCAGAGGTCTTGGAACAACGTAAATCTGACAGTGAATCTGCAAGTAATGTAAATAACACAAGATGTATCGTGGTTCACTCCAAGGTTTGGGCTATGTCCACACTGATTATTGTATTTCTCTGTTTGTGAAGGAGAGAGATGGATAAAGCTTCTGAGTGTCAGAGCTTTGAGAGGGCCTAAGAATTGGCATCCTCCAATTGTAAGGGTGAGGAGTCATTTTATAGAATAAGGGCTCATCACTTATTACATATTTGCCCATTCTTTTATTACATAATTACATTTAAGTCCCCCGAGTATTTGTACGAGATCTAAATAAGGAGGCCCTAAGTATGGTATAAGCAGTAGTCCCCCAAGTCTTCAGTCAAGAGAGTCTTTTGGCTGGAGACTTGAAATTCAGTCCATGTGTGGGCCGAAGTAACTAGATGTTGTCTTGAACTGATGCTCGATATGAGGCTGTGCTCAATCTGAAATGATGCTTAACTAGAAGTAGCACATGCTGCGAGGCTGCTCGGCTTGTGACTTATGTTGCCTTGGTTGGCTCGGCTTGTAGCGTTGAAGGTGAGGAAGTCCCTTTTATAGAATAAGGGCTCACTCCTCAATACATGAATGATGGGCTAGAGTTGATGCTCTCTAATGATGGTGAGGGAGTCCCTTTTATAGAATAAGGGTTTGCTCCTCAGTACATAAGTGATGGGCTAAGTCTCCAAAGTATTTTGTATTTTTCATAAGGCCTAGTTGAGGCCCAATACATGGTGTATAGTGTAGTTCCCCAAGTCTTCAGTCAATAGAGTCTGTTGGCTGGAGATTTCAAATTGAATCCATGTATGGGCCGAAGTGACGGTTGTTCGAAGGCGGTATTTGTATACCCTGCACTGAAGCTTTGTAGGTGAAGCTTTACAAGTGAAGCTGGAGCTCTGTAAATGAAGCTTTCGAAGCTGGAGCTTTTGAAGCTGGTTGACATGAGTGATGCTCATGAATGTTTATGTTGATTGACATGAGTGATGCTCATGGATGTTGTCATGAGTGATGCTCATGAATGTTGACATGAGTGATGCTCATGAATGTTGACATGAGTGATGCTCATGAATGTTGACATGAGTGATGCTCATGAATGTTGACATGAATGATGGTCATGAATGTTTATGTATGATTGTCATGAGTGATGCTCATGAATGTTTATGTATGAATGACATGAGTAATGCTCATGTATAATTTGGAGTATTGGGCGTACTTTTGATCACCTGGTTGGTGGCATGAAGGAGAGTACGGGTTGTACATTTCATCACCTGGTTGGTGGTAATAGAGGTAGGTTGACGAATAATTTTGGAGTATTGGGCATACTTTTGTTCACCTGGTTGATGGTAATAGCGGCAGGTTGCGGAATAATTTTGGAGTACTGAGCGTACTTTGGATCACCTAGTTGGTGATAATAGAGGGCCTGACTCTTTTGGGCATACGGGCCTTTGCCCTTCATATAACATTCCAGCCCATTATTTTGGGCTTGACGTTATTTATTTATTTTTTTTATTAACCTCTGATGAGGTTTATACAGACGTCTCCGAAAGATACGAAAAATAAATTACATCATTCAAAAATAAGGAAAGTAAATCACATCATTCTGGTGGGGTGTTTATTCATTGCTTTTGCTTTCTCTTTTGCTTTCTTCTTTTGCTTTTTGTTTTTTCTTTCTCTTTTGCTTTTGCTTTCTCAGAAAATGGGAACATGCATGATGAAAGTGTGGGCATCTTCTGCGCTGTCATCGTGCCAAGTTGGCTCCCTTAATCAACAAAGAGCTTGGGTTGCTGTGCATTAATCGTTCATTTTCATGTAGCTTTATTGGTGGTCTCTATTTTCTTTTCCTAACATCATGATTGATTTCAAATCAGGTTAGGTTTAACCGACCGTGAGGACAAGGATGGGATCGAGGGGGATCCATATGGGGCTGGAGATGAGGACGACAGCTTCTTCGCCGGTGCATAAGTGGTCATAAATCGTTAACTGTATCAACTCCAAGATCACGTCTTTGATCAACGGAGTCTGCATGAACCTGGAACGCCTGACCCATATCCTAGCATCCACCATCGGCTCCACCGCCACCATGTGGAGGTTCAGCGCCGCCCTCAATAGCCGCGACGTGGAGACCGACGCAAAGAGCTTACCCGCGTCATCAAAGCTAGAAACTTAACATTTCACGCTGTAGGCGTTGGTGGCGGTGGTAGTAGGTGTGCTATTTTTTCAGCGTGGCTAATTGGTTGGGAGATGGCAGAGATGGTGGTGGAAGAGGCGGAGTTAACAAGAGTGATGCAAGATTGGCTGGGGAATCGAGAGCTTCGAGAAACGTGCTGCGAGTCCACTTGCCATTTTTTGGATCGAAATTCACAACAAACACAGATACACTTTGAACGGAGCTCGCGGGGGCTCGGCGTGAATGAAGGAAAATGTATCTTTGGTGCTCTTCTTATTCTTCACTCTGTATATGTATAGGGAAACGAGAGCGAGGGTTCCAATTCCGGCTTAATCACTGGCGACTATTCCGACAATGGCGGCTGGTCTGAGCCTGGTCAGGGCCTCCTGGAAAGTCATCGATTCTGGCGGCGGAATTCTTGATCTGTGTTCCTCTCCTTTCTTGCTTGATGATCTTCTTCAACCTTGCCGAATATGTTGATAAAATCTCCTCGCTAATGAAGAATGTTTGCTAACCATTAATGTGGATTTAAAAATCAGAGACGTGTGGCATGGCGGCAGCGAAGAGGACGAGAGCTAAGACAAAGAAGAAGCTCGACCTGTCAATTATCGACCTAGCGCGAAGTTCTTTGCAACGTCATCGGACGGGGCCACTCTGGCATCGTTTATCAAGTCACCATCTTCACTGAGATAAGGAGAGAGAGGCTTACGAGATGCACATGGGCTTTGATGTGCCTGACCAGAGCCGATGTACCCTGGTTTTTTTTGGGCTCGTGCATGTGGTGTCTCCATATGTACTCCACCTCCATCGAATCACCATCCCCTGCTCATTTTTCGATAAAGTATTGCTTCCCTTCAATCTCTTAATCCCTCCATCCCTCGAACCGACAACGGGAGAAGAAAGCAATACTGGAACTGACCCTTAGAGAGAGAGAAAATGCTTTTCTTTATTTCCTCACAGAGAGAGAGAGTTTTTGGGTTTCTGGGTTTCTGTGTGGATTTTGCAGATTCACCGTGGAGTATGTTGAGGTTTTCACGGTGGTGAGATGAAAAATTGAAAGATAACCAACATAGCTTTTTGTGTCGTTTCCCACAGACGGCGCCAAATGTTGATGCACAAAACCGGAAGTCTTGGAACAACCTAAATCCGACCGTGAATCTGCAAGTAATGTAAATAACACAAGATGTATCGTGGTTCACCCCAAGGTTTGGGCTACGTCTACACTGATTATTGTATTTCTCTATTTGTGAGGGAGAGAAATTGAGAGAGCTTCTGAGTGTCAAAGCTTTGAGAGGGGGTGAGAGGACCTAAGAATTGGCCTCCTCCAATTGTGAGGGTGATGAGTCCTTTTATAGAATAAGGGATCATCACTTATTACATATTTGCCCATTCCTTTATTACATAATTACATTTAAGTCCCTCGAGTATTTGTATGAGATCTAAATACGGAGGCCCTAAGTATGGTATAAACAGTACCAATTATATATATGCAGATGGTTCTCACTTGGGATAAGTTGTTGTGTAATGGTTGAATTAATTATCATTGGATTTTTTTAGTGTCGTATTATAGATGGACTAGTCTTCTCAATTTGCCATATTCTTTAGTTTCAACATCCCTGCTATATGTTCTTCTTATTGATTTTTTTTGTTAAGTAAGATGGAGATATATAATTGTCTGCCTTTTCTTGTAGGTTGATACAGAGGATTTTGTTAAGTAAGATGGAGATATATAATTGTTAAGTAAGCTGCAGGCCAGCTATTACCTTCATATGTGACTATCCATGTCCCAATTAGGATTATTGCACTTTTGACAATATGTATAGTGTTGTACCAAAATAACAAAATAGTGTTGTAATTACTACTACAAGATAGGGAAAGGAGCTAGATCACTATGGTTACTGCCTTGCAAATCTGTATCTTTTCATCCTTTCACCAAATTTGATTACCTATGATGAGTTTCTTTTAAGTATGTATTTCCATTTTCATTTAATTGTTCAGTTAACTTACCTAAATTACTTTTTCTATCATGGTGCTAGCATCTATCATTCCTTATGTATCACGAGTTAATTCCTCTGCATTTGGGCATACTAATCCTGAGTTTTGAGCTTCAATGCATAAACTGTGCAAACCAAATCTGTCATGCTTATCCTGTTTTCTGTTTTCCTGAATCTGTGCAACCGTAAAAATGCAAATTTTTTTTTTTGGTGGAAAAAAAAAAAAATAGAGGACCTGTGGATCAGGCCCGAACCGACCTGTTTCAAACGGACGGGGTAAGGTCTGGTTTCGAGAATAAATTTGGTTGTACCCCGCTCGGCCCTTTTCTTTTAAACCCAGGTCCGGTCCCTTCAAAATTGGGCCCGGCCCAGCTCGTGCCCACCCCTAGATCCTCTCCATATCCTTTTGGAGAGGATCCTAAAGATCCACAAATCATGTATATTCATCGTACATCGTGTGGTCAGTTTTTATTAGATACTGTTTGTATTTAATTTTAAATAAAAATATTTAAAATGATTTATAACCGCACAATATACAATGAACAAATATGATTCACAGATCTTCGAGATTCTCACAAAGAGGGTCCGGCGAGGATCCGGATTCTTTAAATTAGTGTGGTCACTTAAATTCAACATTATTTATTCATCATCTAATTAGTTGTATGGGGAAATAGGAGAAAACTAGAAATTGGTACCCTGCCCATTGCTGCAGGATTAGAAATTGTAAGGAAAATTATGTCATAGACGATTAATATTACTTACATTAAAAATGTTAGAAGATTTTAACAAACAAAAGATTTAATCGATACAGTCCACATACAAACAATCATAGAACTGTTGTCTCTACATAGAAAAAAAATCAGTCATTCAAGGAAGCACCTAAAGTTTCCCTCCATTACTCTTGACTGTCAAGAAAGCAACCTAGGCAAGGAAAAATATGAAATATTAAAATACATGCAATTAATTTATGCATCAACATGTTTATACTAAAAAAAATAAGGATAAAGTATGGTTACCTATTTTTTATTAGTGGAAAAGAATATGGTTTTATACCAGTTAGAGTGGACTTTTTTCAGTGATTTAATAGTCTCTTATTTAGATCAGTGCATTCTAATATTGTAAATGTAAATATTGAGATTTTATGTTATAACTAAACAGTCAATCTAAAAACCAAGTTAACACCCATACAATTATCGCCTGCATTCTCAAGAGGAAGGTTTTGTGCCAGATGTCTCACCTGACTCATACATAGAGCCTGAACTATTGGCATACATTGCAGTCATCAGTGGCTATTTAAAACCCTATTCAAATGTTGCTTCTTCAGCTTTTAACTGAGACCTGAGTTCCTTCAAAGAGACAAGGTTTTTTCTCCCTCTAATAACAGCCTCTATAGTATTGTACTCGGGTGGTAAACCTTTAAGAGCAACAATAAAAATGTCTTCATCAGACATGTTTACACCAATTACAGCCAACTGATCTCTGCTATCTTTGATCATTTGAAGATAAAAATCAATGGATTCTGCCCATTTCTTAATGTTCTGTAAATCAATCTTCATCTGTACAATATTCATTCTGGTCATGCTAGAGAATCGCTTTTTCAAGTTAATCCACATTTCCTTGGAACTTTGACATCCGATAACACAGGATAATGCAGCAGAGGACAAAGTTGCAGTAATGAGAGTTATCAAGGCTTTATCATGAATTTTTCAAACTTTGTAAGCATCAGTTACAGAGGAGTTATCAATCACAATACTAGTACCAGTTTCAATTGCAGTATGTTGTGCAGGACAGGGAATAGAATCACCAAGAAATCCCATAATGCCATTGCCGTCCAATAGTAATTCAATTTGAAAGTTCCAGGTAACATAGTTAGAATCATCTAACTTGACCGTAACAGTATTGCCAACACTTGGTAAGAGGGAGGAAATAAGCGATTGAGTAAAGGCTAATTGTGCAGAAGTCACCATGTTTAATCACCAATGAACAATCGTTGCATGAACCGTAAGAAATCAAGACTCACAGACAAGAACCGACTGGTTCGTACAAAAGATGCACAACAAATTGAGCAAAAAGTAGTAGAAAACTTCAAGAAGCAAACCAACAATCCTGAAGAAATCAACAACTACACCAACAATCCTCGACAAATCAACAATCAACTAATCGAAGCGAACAATCAACACCGCAATCCACACCAAGATTCACAAATAGAAGCAAGAAATCAAGAAATGCAACAGATACCTTCAACCAAAGCGACAAATTGCAATAGTACCCAAGAAACCCCAAATTCTAGGGTTTGAGTAGCCAACCGACTGCGACCAAAAAACAACCGACGTTGAGCAACCAAAAGAACACTGCCATAAGAGCGAAGAAAAACGGAAGCACCGGGATCGTCAAGCGACGGCGTCAGCCATTGTCGACGATGATACCATGTCAACGATGTAATTGTATGTAATGCACAGAAACAATGGAAGGAAAAATATTGAAGAGACAGAACAGTCAGAGAGAGAGAGGGGAGGGAAAGTTTTAGTTTTTCATTGCCTTCCAAATATGACACACTTGACTTATAAATACCATGCACCTATAACTAACTCTAAGAGTCTCCAATACAATTGCGACACATGTCTATTCCTAACACATAGCACCTTTCCAAGATGAGCAACACACAACACCAGAAATAAGAAAGGGGCAAAATCGTCAACTCACTACTTAATCTAAAAAAAAACCTAAAAATTACACATCAAGAGAGGGGCAAAACCGGAGAAGCACTGTTAATAAACAATACTTTTCCACCGGATTTTGGAAGAGTAATAATGTGACACGGCTCTTTTGACATTATTATATTATGAGTGGTGAATAACCACAACGTGGCACTGCCGTGCAATGCACCATTAGAGCAAGTCCACCCTTGCATGTTGCTCGGGGGACAACCTCCTTCCAAGGGCCTGAGGGCCGGTCGAAATGGGTCCAGCCATGAAGGGCCCGAGTGAGGGTGGGAGCCCAAGCGAGGGGGGGTGGGGAGTCGACGGGCCTGTGGCCCGAGGGCTTTGTAATTTTTTATTTTTTTTGTGTCAGAGAGAGAGAGAGAGAGAGAGAGAGAAAAGGGGGGACCGGAGCTGGGTTCGTCGCAGGGGAAGTGGGTGCGGAAGGGAAGTGGGTCGTCGTAGGGGGGAAGGCAGGGTGGGTTGTCGCCGGGGGGGGGGGGGGGAAGGCAGGGTGGGGGAGGAGGTAGCTAGGTTCTGGTTTTTGCAGGGGGTTCTCGGGGGTGGGAGGAGAGGTGGAAGAAATGGGTTCGGGTCTGGTTTTTGCAGAGGGTTCTCAGGGGTGGGAGGAGAGGTGGAAGAAATGGGTTCGGGTTTTTTTTTTTTTTTTTAATTTTTTTTAATTGGATTAATATTATAATATTTTTAATGTATAAACTATTATTGAAACAAACAAAAAAATTATTATTTTAATTGCCTATTGCCAGGGGAGAGGGCTCTAAGGGTGGAGATGCAAATGGCAATTACTGTTCATTAATAACAATTACTATTCATTGGTGGCAGTTACTGTTCAATAGGGTGGATTCAATAGTGGATTGCCAGGGGGGAGGGCTCTATGGGTGGAGTTGCTCTTATTCAAGAATTTGGAGTTTTCGGAAATTCCTCACCATGCCGGTTCGATGACGTTACTTCCAAAATTTAATATATTGCTGTATAAAAAAAGTAGGGATGTGTTAACCACACATTCCTTTTTACTCCTTACACATCCTTTGTTAATTTATGTCTGTTGATGTTCTTCAATTCATCCAAGCCGACGGCTGAAAACTAAAAAGATGTGAAAGAAGTAAAAAGATGTGCGTGGATATCACATTTCAAAAAGTAATGTTGTAAAGGGTAAATTATTACTTAAACATTATAAATCATGTTTATTTTTTATTAGTGATATATCATGTAGCTTGCAAATTTAATCTATAAATTTACTCTTCACTAGTATAAAAATCACAAGACTAGATATAGTACTTGGAATTTTGCTTAGAATTGCTGATCGAATTCGCAAATGGAGAACACTAGGGTTTGCGTTACTGGGGGCTCAAGCTATCTCGGCTCTTCACTTATCAAAAGGCTCTTAGAGAAAGGATACACCGTCCATGCAACCCTAAGAAATCTGGGTTCTCTCCTCTCTCTTTCTCTCTTTCTGTCTCTCTCTCTTTCTCTCTTTCTCTCTTTCTCTCTCACACACACACACAAAACTTGCTTAATTAATATTGTGGATAAATATTTTTGCGGGTGATCCATTTAAAGTGGGACTTCTCAAGGGTCTTCCTACTCTTGGTGCAGACAACAGACTGAAATTGTTTGAAGCAGATATATATAATCCTGATGAGTTTGAGACAGCAATTCAAGGGTGCAATTATATTTTTCACTTGGCCACCCCTTGCAGCACGAGGCCAAGGATACTCAGGTTTGTTCCTTTTTTTTGGAAAACTACTCAGGTTAGCTTCCTCATCGTCTTGTCTTATTATTGACTGAAAATATTACAAGAATAGAAAAAGAAAAGAAAAAGGGGAGATCTAGATCTGAAAAGGTTTGAAAGAATTGTTAATTATTATTTCTACTTATCTGATCGAGAAAGTAAATTTTTTTTGTGTGTGTTGCGAAAAGTTTCTAGTTTTTGTCCTGTGCCTTCCTCACTAGAAAATATTATTATATGTGTGACAGTAATGTTTTGTGTTGTAACAAGATGTTCAATCTATATACCAATACCAGCGGCTTTTTGATTAAATCCAACTGCTGCAAACTTGAGAGTTAAATTGCAATTAATGACTTATGTGATAATCTTATGTCTTATGTCAAATTTTGATGATCAATTTTTTTTAATTAATATAGAGCTTTAAATGATTGTATTTATTAAAAAATTATGTTGAAACCAAAATTTTTGTTGGTTAAAATGTTAGTGGAATAAGGAACACACTATTAAAACTAATTAAAAATAAACTTGACGTTTATGTCAAATCTGACTCCTAATCATAAAGGTTTCAAATCTGGTTAGCAAATAATATTTTGGTTAGAATGAATTTTTATGTCAAATATGTACAATGACATATTCACTTAAGACTTGACATCTCCTTGGAGATGCTCTAATGCCACGCTTGTTTACTACTGGACTAGTTCAAAGACACTTCTGAAGCTGCAGTTTCGGGAATTAAGAGCATAGTGAGGTCTTGTATCAAATCAGGCACCATAAAGCGCCTCATTTACACAGCCTCTGTGGTGGCCGCATCACCAATCAAAGACTCTGGAAATGGCTTCAAACAGTTTATGGATGAGTCCTGTTGGACTCCCCTCAATCTTTCATTAGCCTTTGCCAATAAAGTATTGATTGTAAGTATATCAAATTTATTTCAATTAAGAAACAAAATTTATAATTATTGTGTAAGAAAGTTGTTCTATTCGCTTATGAAGAAATCTCAACCATTGATGGTAAGAGTGGGAAATAAGCTAGTGGACCGGATTTCTTCACGTGCCCACATGCGACTGACTCTAACATATTTCTTCCTTAAGAATGGAATCGTCTATTATTTGTTAGTATTTTGCTCTCTTTTTTAAAAAAAGAAAAGGAAAAAAAACTAAAGAGTGGTTAATATGTGTTTGTAGGACTATACACACTCAAAGAGCCTTTCAGAGAAAGAAGTGTTGAAGCACACTAGTGGTGACCTTGAAGTGGTCAGCATTGCTTGTGGCCTAGTGGGAGGGGACACACTTCTCACTACTATGCCTGAGAGCATGGGAGTGCTCATTTCACAAATCACAAAAGATAGTAGGAGATACCAAACCCTGAGATTTTTGGAGGAATTGCTTGGTAAAGTTCCAATCGTGCACATTGAAGATGTTTGTGAGGCACACATATTATGCATGGAGAAGCCTTCCATCAATGGCAGATTTCTATGTGTTAGTGCATATTTGTCTTCAGCAGAGATAGCATCTCACTGGGAAAAAAATTACCCAAGTCTCAAAATAGCTGAAGAGTAAGTTACTAACTTGCTACACAAGCTATTAAGAAAATTTTACAGTACTGTTGTTCTGGCATTTCAAAAAAATTATTATGCACTCTTCAAATTGCAATTCCTCCTTTATATTTTTGCAAAGGTGGACCACATGATATCGCTTTTAGAGCACTAATAACAACTTCTAAAATCTACAATGGTTCCTAACAATACACATTATCCTTGTTTCAGGTTTGTGGAAGATTCAGGGAGAGACATTGGCTGGGGTTCCACAAAGCTTAAGAAAATTGGATTTGAGTACAAATTTGATGCCAAGGTGATATTAGATGACACTCTAAAGTGGGCCCAAAAGATGGGTGAGTTTGCTTCCAGCCAAAATACTGTTGTACCCAAGTAATGACCAATGAGAAATAAATAACTTGCCTCTGATCGGTGATCAGTCAATTGCAGCAGTTAAGAAGTTCGAAGTTCGATAATATTTACAGATTTGGTTACAATACTTAAATGTATTTAATATAATTTTATCTCGAATGCAATTTTATTTTTCAAAATCAGCACTATTCCTCTTGGAACCGAAGAATTTACAAATCAATGAGACTAGAAGTGGAAAGAAGAAAAAGAAAGGCAAAGAGACACACAGAAATGCTACCTCACACGTTACTTCTACCTAGGCAGAGGAAAGCTCTCTTCACAAACCTCATCTTCCCCTCTGCAATTTTTTCTGGGGTATTTTTCTTTCTCAAGTGGAGAGGGAAAAGGTTAACATCTTAAACCAAACAATCTGGGGGAAATTCAAAATCATCAGTTGAGAAATCAAAATCCCCAATTGGTGAATTGGTGACTGAAGTTGGAGCTGAGATTATCTCAGTGAGACCAGATTCTGAAGTCTGCACATCATGCGCTAGTCCGAAACTGCTCATATGGCACATCCCACCCCTACCCCCACCCCCTTACCCATCTCTTCCTTCCCGTCCGTCTGTCCCCACCCTTACCCATCTCTCCCACTCTTCTTCTTCCTCCACACCAACCCCAACACACTCCCTGACACCCTTTTCTCAATTCCCTCCTTCCCTCTCCCTCTCTAGGGTTTTAACTTCGAATTCCACCCCTCTCCCGCCTCTTCCCCCGCCACTCTCCGCCTCCCGCCTCCACGCGTCTCCTTCCCCCAAAACCCATATCCCCCTCCACCTTTCCCACCTCAAAGCCCCGCAACCCAAATACCTGCAACCCACTACTTGCAAAACCACAACCCACAATCGTCGCCGAGGGGGGGTCGCGGGAGCTTATCGTCGACGGGAAGGGCAGAGGAAGGCAGGTGGGTCATCGCGGGGGGTGGGGAGGGAAGGCAAGTGGGTCATCCGGGGGGGGTGGGGGGAACGGACGGGTTTGGTTTCTTCTTTTGGGGGAAGGGATTTTGTAAATAGGAGTTACAAATAGATGAGGGGGAAGGAAGGGACCTGGTTCGGGTATTTTGGTTTTTATTTTTTTATTTTTTTTATTTTTAATAGGGTTAATATTATAATATTGTTAATGTATAAAAAAATTTATTTTATTTTTTATGTGGCATCGATATCAGCATAAATGTGGTAGCCACGTCAGTATTTAACAGATCATTGGATGAAATGTGTTATTTTGAAATAAAATAGTACATAAGATATGAAATTGAAATGTTTTATAGATATTGTATGGAGATGTAATAAATCCGAAATCTGAAGGGTTTTTATGTAATTTAACCAAAGAATTGATTAAAGTTGTATGAGTTAAACCCGGCCACATGATTTGTGGCGCAAAAAAAATGATAAAAAATTAGAAAGAAATTGGTTGTAGGGAAAAATGATTAAAAAATAAAAAAACTAACAAAAAAGATTTGAAAACTTTGAGTTTTAACGAAAATGATAAAAATGTGTTGTGTGTGAATAGGATCAGTATTAACTTTTAAGATTAAAAATATGTGATTTTTTGTTAAATTAAACAGCATCGAGAGTGTTTCGTAAAAACTCTCTTAAAAAATATGGGTCATTGACAGGTGGATAGAAAGGTCAAACCCGGTATATTACTGTACAAAATGGAAAAAAAGCACATGGGAAAGAGTAACATAAGGGGCATTTTAGGCAGTTCACTATGAACAGTGTTTTTGTGTTGGATTTTAGTGTATGTATAATGCAACACGGCTCTTTTGGCATTATTATATTATGTGTGCTGAACAAGCACAACGTGGCACAGAAATGCACCACAATTCAAGAATTTGGAGTTTTTCTGAGATTCCTCACAATGCCGGTTCGATGACGTTACTTCCAAGATTTATATATTGCTGTATAAAATGAATAATATTTGAAAGATTAAATTTGTGAACTAAATTTTATAAACTAAATGATATAAAAATTGATGATTAAATTGTTATGTAAACATTGTAAACTGTATTTATTTTTATTAATAATATATCATTTAGTTTGTAAATTTAATCTATAAATTTAATCTCTTTAATATTATTCATATAAAAATCACAAGGCTGGATATAGTACTTGGGATTTTGCTTAGAATTGCTGATCGAAATCGCAAATGGAGAACACTAGGGTTTGCGTTACTGGAGGCTCAAGCTACCTCGGCTCTTCACTTATCAAAGGGCTCTTAGAGAAAGGATACACCGTCCATGCAACCCTAAGAAATCTGGGTTCTCTCTCTCTCTCTCTCTCACACACACACACGCACAAAACTTGCTTAATTAATATTGTGGATAAATATTTTTGCAGGTGATCCATTTAAAGTGGGACTTCTCAAGGGTCTTCCTACTCCTGGTGCAGACAGCAGACTGAAATTGTTTGAAGCAGATATATATAATCCTGATGAGTTTGAGACAGCAATTCAAGGGTGCAACTATATTTTTCACTTGGCCACCCCTTTGCAGCACGAGCCCAAGGATACTCAGGTTTGTTCTTTTTTTTTGGAAAACTACTCAGGTTAGCTTCCTCATCGTCTTGTCTTATTATTGACTGAAAATATTACAAGAATAGAAAAAGAAAAGAAAAAGGGGAGATCTAGATCTGAAATGGTTTGAAAGAATTGTTAATTATTTATTCTTTCTACTCATCTGATCGAGAAAGTAATTTTTTTTTTTGTGTGTTGCGAAAAGTTTCTAATTTTTGTCCTGTGCCTTCCTCACTAGAAAATATTATTATATGTGTGACAGTAATGTTTTCTGTTAATTTTTTTTTTTGCTTAAATGTTTTCTGTTAATTATATTAACAAGATGTTAACCCCTCGATAATGCGAGAAAATACACTCTCTTAAGGGCTGGTTTGGTATTGTTGTGTTGTAAGAATAAGCAGCTGTGAAATAAAGCAGCAGACTGTATGGTAAACTTTTTTGTAAAAGTGTTTTTGAAAAAAAAAAAAGTATTATAGTATTTTTTTTGTAAAACAGATGTGAAAAAAGTCGGTTTTTCAAAGTTGGGTTTTGCAACTTTGTGTTTTTGGTTTTTTTTCATCCAAAACTGTGAAAAAAGTTGAAGCTGAATGTTTACCAAACACAAAAAACTCTTAGGTTTTTTTTATATCCATTTTTTTTAGAATCACCTCAGTACCAAATCAGGACTAAGTAACTGAAAATAACGTCAATCTAAACAAATACCAGCGGCTTTTTGATTAAATCCAACTGTTGCAAACATTAGAGTTTAATAAGTTTCCTAAGCACACTTCCAACCTCCAAAGAAAATGTCAATTTATGACAGTTAAGTTGCAATTCATAACTTATGTGATAATCTGAAGTCTTATGTCAAATTTTGTACTTCCCCAAACGAATTATCAAATATATATATTTTTTATTAATATAGAGGTTTAAATGATTGTATTTATTAAAAAAACTGTTAGAAACAAAAATTTTATTGGTTAAAATGTTAGTAGAATAAGGAACTCACCATTAAAACTAATTAAAAATAAATTGGACGTTGATGTCAAATCTGACTCTTAATCATAAAGGTTTCAAAACTGGTCAACAAATAATACTTCGGTTAGAATGATTTTTTATGTCAAACATGCACCAATGACATCTCTACTTAAGACTTGACATCTCCTTGGAGATGCTCTAATGCCACACTTGTTTACTACTGGACTAGTTCAAAGACACTTCTGAAGCTGCAGTTTCGGGAATTAAGAGCATAGTGAGGTCTTGTATCAAATCAGGCACCGTAAAGCGGCTCATTTACACAGCCTCTGTGGTGGCCGCTTCACCAATCAAAGACTCTGGAAATGGCTTCAAACAGTTCATGGATGAGTCCTGTTGGACACCCCTCAATCTTTCATTTGCCTTTGCCAATAAAGTATTGATTGTAAGTATATCAAATTTATTTCAATTAAGAAACAAAATTTATAATTATTGTGTAAGAAAGTTGTTCTATTGTCAAGTTGCTTTTGAAGAAATATCAACCACTGATGGTAAGAGTGGGAAATAAGTGCCCACGTGCGACTAACTCTAGCATATTTCTTCCTTAAGAATGGAATCATCTATTATTTGTTAGTACTTTGCTTTTTTTAAAAGAAAAGGAAAGAAAAAAAACGAAAGAGTGGTTAATATGTGTTTGTAGGACTATACACACTCAAAGAGCCTTTCAGAGAAAGAAGTGTTGAAGCACACTAGTGGTGACCTTGAAGTAGTCAGCATTGCCTGTGGCCTTGTGGGAGGGGACACACTTCTCACTGCTATGCCTGAGAGCATGGGAGTGCTCATTTCACAAATCACAAAAGATAGTAGGAGATACCGAACCCTGAGATTTTTGGAGGAATTGCTTGGTAAAGTTCCAATTGTGCACATTGAAGATGTTTGTGAGGCACACATATTATGCATGGAGAAGCCTTCCATCAATGGCAGATTTCTATGTGTTAGTGCATATTTGTCTTCAGCAGAAATAGCATCTCACTGGGAAAAAAACTACCCAGGTCTCAGAATAGCTGAAGAGTAAGTTCTAACTTGCTACACAAGCTATTAAGAAAATTTTACAGTATTGTTGTTCTAGCATTCTAAAAAATTTATCATGCACTATTCAAATTGTAATTCCTCATTTGTATTTTTACCAAGGCGCATGATATCGCTTTTAGAGCACTAATAACAACTTCTAAAATCTACAATGGTTCCTAACAATACACATTATCCTTGTTTCAGGTTTGTGGAAGATTCGGGGAGAGACATTGGCTGGGGTTCCACAAAGCTGAAGAAAATTGGATTTGAGTACAAATTTGATGCCAAGGTGATATTAGATGACACTCTAAAGTGGGCCCAAAAGATGGGTTTCAGCCAAAATACTGTTGTACCCAAGTAATGACCAATGACAAATAAATAACTTGCCTCTGATCAGTGATCAGTCAATTGCAGCAGTTAAGAAGTTCGAAGTTCGATAATATTTACAGATTTGGTTACAATACTTAAATGTATTTAATATAATCTTTATCTCGAATGCAATTTTATTTTTCAAAATCAGCACTATTCCTCT